TTTTTTATTTATTATGTAGTATTCTATCTTTCTCTTTCTTTTTATTTTTTTTATATATTATATATTATTATTTTTTTCTCTCTTTTTATTATTATATATAATATATAGTATTATTATTATTCTTTCTCTTTTTTTTAATATTATCTTTACGTAATTTATATAATTTGTATAAAACATATAATATTTATATATATATATATATTTATATATATATATATATATATATATATGATATACAGCCTCTATTCTCTACAACATCTCCACTATAAACATATAACATATATAGTATATTATATATTCCCTCTCTCTCTCTCTCTCTCTCTCTCTCTCTCTCTCTCTCTATCTCTCTCTTTTTTTTTTTTTTATTTATTTATAAACAGATAAAGGAGAACATATCTGGGGACGTGTTGCCGCCATGTTTGCTTTTATATAATAAAAGTGATTTACAAGAAGATATAAAAGTCTCCATAGAAGAAGCAGAAGCATACGCAAACTCTATTGGGGCTTTGTTTGCATGCACCTCGGCCAAGGTACCCAAACCCTAAACCCTAAACCCTAAACCCTAAACCCTAAACCCTAAACCCTAAACCCTAATTTTTTACACAGCTTTATATACAGCAATAAATAAAACAATCAAATTGTACAAGAGAAAATAAAATAACGCACGAACGAACTTATATGAACACAGGCATGGCTATCTATCTATATAGCTAGCTAGCTAGCTAGACCCCTCGCTAGCTAGCTAGCTAGACCCCTCGCTAGCTAGCTAGCTAGACCCCTCGCTAGCAAGCTAGCTAGCTAGCTAGAAAGTGAGGTAGTAGTTCGAGTTAATTTGATATTTTTCTGGGTATTCTAGGGTTTAGGGTTTAGGGTTTAGGGTTTAGGGTTTGTGGGTTGTGTACGCAGACCTCAGCCAACGTAGATGCTGCGTTTTTGGCTCTCGCAGCGAAGCTGGTGGAGCAGCGTCGAGCTGCTGCTGCTGCTGCTGCTGCTGCTGCTGCTGGTGCTTCAGGGAGCAGCAGCAGCAGCAGCAGCAGNAGCAGCAGCAGCAGCAGCAGCAGTGGGAGTGCAGCAGCAGCAGCAGCAAGAGGACAGACTGTCTCTCTTGTCGAGTCTACTGCTGCTGCTGCTGCTGCTGAAGCACAAACCCGCAGCAGCTGCAGCAGCTGCATGGGGAGGTTTCGCTCTTTGCCTGCTGCAGCAGGCAGCTCAGAGATGTCGTGAGTCTAAACCCTAAACCCTAAACCCTAAACCCTAAACCCTAAACCCTAGGTATGTTTCCTTTCATCCCTCTTATACCTCCCTCTAGGGTTTAGGGTTTAGGGTTTAGGGTTTAGCTGCTGCTGTTTGCTGCTGCAGGGAACTGCGAAGCCGCGGAGGAGATGCTTCTTAGATAGACTCCATATTAGGGTTTAGGGTTTAGGGTTTAGGGTTTGGGGTTTGGCTGGATCTGTATGCGTTTGAATAAGTGTTTAGGGTTTAGGGTTTAGGGTTTATTTTTCTTTGTCTCTCTTTATGCTGCTGTTTATTGTTGTTTAGGGTTTAGGGTTTAGGGTCCTCACACACCCTAAACCCTAAACCCTAAACCCTCAGGAGACAGTTCACGTACAGCAACCGCAAGGCAGCGAGAGATAAACCCTTGAGGGTTTATATATCGATAAACCCCTGAGGGTTTACAAACCACAAAAACCCTGAGGGTTTACTAGGGTTTAATTAGGGTTTACGAGGGTTTACGAGGGTTTAGGGTTTATTCGAGTTAATTAGGGTTTAGGGTTTCTTTTGTTAGGGGGCTGCTGGAGATGCAATGCGTTGTACAAGTGAACAAACAAAAGGGTTTAGGGTTTAGGGTTTAGGGTTTAGGGTTTAGGGGGCGACGACTCTCTGTAGGAGAGCATATACAGCCATAGAACGAAGCAAACTAGTGCAGTACTAGTGTATATATACACTTGTCTAGCTAGCCAGCTAGCTAGCTAGCTAGCTAGCTAGCTAGCTAGCTGGCTAGCTAGCTAGCTAGCTAGCTACTGGTTTCTATGGCGGGTACGTGAGGCGGCGGCGCCCGTTGCTGGGGGCTGTGGGGCCCCCCCCTGCTGAGCAGGAGCCAGAAACAGAGTAAAAAAAAGAGAAAAAAGAAGAGAAATTAATAAAAATAAATAAAATAAATAAAAATAAATTATTTATATTTAAATTTCGCCGAAAGAAAGCCCCAAAAAAAACGCATGCAGAGAGCATCGCCGCAGTGTAGAGCCGAAACGAAACGAGCTGTCTGTACACCTGAGACAGCAGCAACAAAGTTTTGTATTTATTTATTAAATTTATTCTTTTTATTTCTTTTTATTTCTTTTTTATTTCTTTTTTTTTCTTCTCCTTTGCTCCGCAGCAGCCTCTTCTATCCTCAGGTGTATAGGCAGCTCTGGGGGCCTCGCGGGCTGCTGCATGTAGTTCTTTACATTCATCTTCCTAAACCCTAAACCCTAAACCCTAAACCCTAAACCCTAAACCCTAACAATGACAGACGAAGTCGTTCAGGATGAAGGCGCGGGGCCCCCAGGGGGCCCCCTAACTCTTGCTGCTGCTCTTGAGGGTTTAGAGTGTATAGAGGGGAGCCAGCAGCAGCAGCAGCAGCTGCTGCTGATGCAGCACGTGCTGCAGCATCTGAAGGACAGAATACCCAGCAGCAGCAGCAGCAGCAGCAGCAACAGCAGCAGCAGCAGCAGCAGCAGCNCAGCAGCAGCAGCAGCAGCAGCAGCGGGGACCCTATTTTAACTATCGAGGAGTTTTCTTCTCTATGCAGCTCGCTGCTGCTGTCTCCTGCTGCATGCAGCAGCAGCAAACGCTGCAGCAGCAGCTGGCGCTGCTGCTTCTCTCGCCTGCGCTCCGTAGCAGCAAAGGCCCTTGCATGCGAAGCAGCAGCAGCAGCAGCAGCAGCAGCAGCAGCAGGAACAGAGGTTCAGCAGCAGCAGCTACCTCTGCTGCAGCGGTTCTGCTCTCTGCTGCAGCAGACAGTGAAGGGCCTCGGGCGCAGCTCAGCAGCAGCAGCAGCAGTTGGCAGCAGCTTCCTCTCTGTGCTGCTGCTGCTGCCTCCTGCTGCTCTTGCTGCAGCAGCAGCAGCAGACTGCTGCAGCAAAAGCATAGGCGGCGTGCTGCTGCAGCTGGAGAGGGTCTTCGCGGACGTCTTTGCTGCTGCTGTTGAGCACCACCACCACCGCCAGCAGCAGCGGCAGCAGCAGCAGCAAGACCAGCAGCAACAGCAGCAGCAGCAGCAGCAGCAGCAGCAGCAGCAGCAAGAGCTGCTGCAAGTACAAGTCGAGCAGCTGCTGCAGCGGCAAGCAAAAAAACTTTCTTTTGTTGCTGTGCTGCAGCAGCTGCTGCAGAAGTCCTCCAAGGCGAGAGCGCATGCGCTGCAGGTAGCAGAGAACAGCATCAGCAGCAGCTGCAGCAGCAGCAGCAGCAGCAGCAGCAGCAGCAGCAGCAGCAACCGCAGCAGCATTTGCTGCTGGCTGCTGTGCCGCTGGGCTTGCGACGTTCTGCTGCATAAAAAGGGTCAGCGAGTTCCTGCTGCTGCTGCTGGTGCTGCAGCAGCAGCAGCAGCAGCAGCAGCAGCAGCAGTAAAGAAAGAGGCCCTAGATGTTAGGGATAAGCTGCTCCAGCTCTTCCTTCAGGTACAGGCAGCAGCAGCAGCAGCAGCAGCAGCAGCAACAGCAACAGCAGCAGCAGCAACCGCAGCAGCAGCAGCAGCAGCAGTAGCAGCAGCAGCAGCAACAGTAGCAGCAAGCTACAAGCGCAGCAGTTTGTCGAGCTGCAGCTGTAACAGCAGCAGCAGCAGCAGCTACCCACCGTCAATGCAGGTCCTTTCTGTCTCTCAACAGCAGCAGCAGCAACAGCAGCAGCAGCAGCAGCAGGAGCAGCAGCAGGTGTTTGTTTGTGTGTTGCTGTGTGTTGCAGCTACTGGACGGGCGCCATGCTACTGGGGTGTCTGTGCATGCATCATTTGCTGCTGTAGGTTTGCTGCTGCAGCAGCAAGACCTAGAAGCTGCTGCTGCTCCTGCTGCAGCAAAGGGGTTCTCTCGTTCTGTCGATGCTGTGGGGCCCCCCGTGCTGCTGCTGCTGAGACACTCCAGAGCAGACTCATCCAAGTAAGATAAACAAATTCCTGCTGCTGCTGCTGCTGCTGCTGCTGCTGCTGCTGCTGCTGTTGGTGGTGGTGGTGGTGGTGGTGGTGG